CACCTTGCCTGATTTGAAACCATGCAGTATTACCTTGTTATGCACTAACGACTACTTCTTGGTCTGTGTACAGGCTATGGACATGAGCACAATGAAATGTTCTGGCATTTCCATTCTTCTCAACGTTATCCACAGATTGTCATGAGCCATACAGTTGGATGCCTTAACTTTGTCCATAAAACACAAGTAAACAGCCATGTAATGTCAGCAATATTCCACACCCTCTCCTGGATTCAGTTTGAATTGCTGACAGCTCCCTGCCAGTGTACTGCTGCAACCATAGTTGAATGATCTTCAGCAAAACTTTACTTGCATGTGACATCAATGATGTTAATTTCTACACTCTGTTGGGTCACCTTTCTTTGAGATGGGCACAAATGTGGATCTCTTCCAGTTGGAAGAAATTTGAGGAAAAAATATTCTACATATTGGATTACAAAATGCAAAAATGATCTTGTCTTCCAAATTTCTTGGCATAGAAGAGTGTTTCCAGTGCTTCATCAGCTTGTTGAAATGTTTTAGTTGGTGAGGTAGTTAGTTTATTGTGCCAACCTAGCCGATAAACACATGTGGGGTTAATTGAAGGGCGGAGAGATAAGTGGCTCGGTGAGCCTTGCCTTTCTAGTTCTCCAGTCTCTTGCTTTGTTATGGTCGGACCAGGGTACAGCTGCCTTAGCCAGTTCCCTGCTTCGGCTGGCAAGGCCCACTTCATGCAAGACATCCCTGAGGAGAAGCAGCATGGACATACCCCGATGCAGCCCTGGGTGATGGAGCAGCCGTGTGGAGACCCCTGCCAGCGCTGAGATGCTTACACATTCACTGATTTGGCTTTCCTCCTGCAGTCAGCATCATTGTGTGTGTTTTGTGAGATAGAGGAGGACTTTGTGGATTGGTGTCAGACATATGGGTTAATGTTGGACTTGTGGGCTTGGGCAGCTCTGGGTTGGGATGTTTTCTTAATGTGCACATAACCTTTATAAAAAACCCTCTCTTATACATGAGTTTCTGTGGATTTGTTTCTCTAATGTACCCAGACTAACACATTATGGTACCTTGGAGTGAGGTACTGGAAAAACAAATCATAAGATGGAGAGTAGATGTTTGTTTGACCTCTCCCTCATGGTGGTTTTTCTTCTGAGCCCGTGGAATCCTTCAATATTGCAATTCAGCACTTGAGGCTTGAATTTTTTTTCTCCAGTTTTTTCAACTTGAGATATGTGGAGTGCATTCTTCCTTTTTGGTTTTCTAACTCCAAGTTTTTCACATTTCATTATAATACTTTGTTTTCTTGGGATGGCCTTTGAAACTTTCTATTCAGTTCTTTTACTTTATCATTTCTTCCATTTGTGGTAACTATGATCAAGAGCAAGGTTCAACATCTCTTCTGACATTCCCTTCTCTCTTTTATTTCTTGTTAATTTTCTTAATGACACTTTGCCTTCTTCCTGTAAGACGTTCTTAATGTCATCCCACCACTCTTCCGGTCTGCTGTCATTAGTGTCCGATGAGCCTAATCTGTTCTTAAGATGTCCTCTGAATTCAGATGGAGTAGCTCAGAGTTACATTTTGATTCTCATGGACTTGTTCTAATTTTCTCCAACTTGAACCTGAGCTTTCAGATGAACCATTGGTGATCTGTTGCACAGTCAGCCCCTGGCCTGACTTTGGCTGGCAATATTGAGCTTCTCCACCATCTCCCCCACAGACGCAGTCCATTGCATTGCTGTGTGTTCCGTCTGGAGAGGTTCTTTGCACACTTGCTGTTCATGTTGTTGAAAAAGAATTCGTAATGAAGACGTTGTTGGTTTGGCCAAATTTTATGTTGAGCTCTCCAGCCTCTCTGACCGCTAAGCCTTCCTCTCTGTTTCCAACTTTTACAATCCAGTTGTCAGTAATTATCAGAGCATCTTGATCACATTTGTATCAATTTCAGATGGAAAAGTTGGCATAATTCTTCAAGTTCTACCTCACTATCTTTACTATTTGGTGTACAAATTTGAAAAATATCTCTATTGACCGGCTTTCCTGTAGGCATGTGTATACTATCCTATCACAGACAGTATCATACTTCAGGATAGAGCTTGAAATGTTTCGTTTGACAATGAATGCAGCATCATTTTTCTTGAATTTAT